CAGGCCATCTGCAAGCTGAGGAGCAAGGAAGTCAGTCCATGTCCCCAAACCTCAAAAGTAGGGAAGCTAACAGTGCAGCCTTCAGTCTGCAGTCCTAGGTCCAAGAGTTCCAAAGCTGAAGAACTTGAAGTCTTATGTTCAAGGGCAGGAATCACTCATCACAGAAGAAAGATGAAGGCCAGAAGATTCAGTCAGTCTAGCTCTTCCAGGTTCCTCTGCCTGCTTTTATCCTAGCCGAGCTGGCAGCTAATTAAATGGTGCTTGACAGATTGAGGGTGAGTCTGCCTCTCCCAGTCCACTGACTCAAACGTTAATATTTTTTGGCAACACCCTCACAGACACACCTAGAAATAATGCTTTGCATCCTTCAATCCAATCAAGTTGATGCTCAATGTTAACCATCACACGAGGTGCTGCACACTTTTAAACAACTAGATATAATGAGAAGCCACTCACTGTCATGAGGACAATACCAAGGAGGATGGTGCTAAACCGTTTATGAAAAGTCACCTCCCATCAAGCCCCACCTCCAACATTGGGGATTACAATTTGACATATTTGTGCAGTAAGACAGATGCAAACCGTATCACCCCTCCTCTCCAACTTACATGAAAACCATTTTCTTCTAGATTAGGTGTGCTCCAGATTACTTGAAGAATTTCAAAGCATGCTCATGGTTTCTCAAGGCAGAAGCATATGTTTTTACATAGAGGTTTTCAGTGAGTCTATAATAGCAGAAAGACTGAGGAAATAGAATTTTTTTAGGTTAAATCCATTAATACTGTGGGAACCAATGGTGGCAATGTGTAAGGAAGACAACTGTGCAAGGTCAGTGATCAAACATGATCAAATCATGCCGCTGCAGATGACTATTCCCCAGAGTTAGAAAGCCAAGCTAAAAATATGACTTCTTAACTCTCTGCACCTCCAGTACAGTTGTTGCACAGTCTATAGCTGCAGGTAAAATTCTACCATGACAAACTTAAAGGTGTTGGGAAGGACACCCCCTGCCATTTCATACTGTGCAATTGCAGGTTAAGGCTTAGCAAAGACCAGCTCAAAAAAGAGCCATTTGCAGATTCTTCATGCACATTTCCTCTTCTTTGCCTGTTTCTCACATAGATCATAAGGGGAAATGATAGCCAGGTATATAAGATTAACTTCTCTGGTTCCAATTTTTAAAATCTACTGATGTTTAGTTGTATAAACAAGCCTATTGCACCTCAGAACATAGATTTCTATTCTGTTAAGTCAAACTAATAATTCATATTTCTCATGCATTAGGATTAAGTGAAAATATTACTGATGAAGTCTGTAGAAACTTCCTCACACAGAGAGTCTGCTCAGAAATGGTCTGGTCCTCATGACATTGTTGTGTTTGTTCAGCTTTCAGAGAGAAAGCAGAATGCAAATGCATAGGTCTTGAAGTCAGAAGATTGCTTGACAAAATGACCATAGGAAAGACCTCAAGATTTTCTGGGTTTTGATTTATCTGTACAATGAAAATGATGTTCTCTATGCATTTTTGCTTTGTATTTTATTTATGTTTAAATGAGACAGCTGGGCAGTGTTCATACCGTAAAGCAGCATACCAATGGCTGATAAGGAAAGGGCTTTGAGGTAGGAGCACTCTGCATCTCAGAATTATTTCTACACTCATAGCGTAAAATTCAAATTCCCTAATCTGAAGGATGAGAAGTTCTAGGAGAGAATCAGATATAGTAGCAGGCATCTATTTTTACTGAAAATTGTTATTGCCCAGGTAATACTAAAATTTCCTTCTCAGTGAGAACTATCTTGTTGCACAAAGATATACTATTATAAGAACAAATGAGGCATAAATAATAGTGCTATCATTAATTTCAAGTCATCTGCATGTATTATTTGGTAAATCATAAGGTAGAAGTTATTGTCCCTATATTTAAGATAAAATATTTTTAAAGCTGTGCAACTGTTTTAAAAGAAGATAAGTTGATATCATGGAGCTTGAAGTCAGAACGAGGCCCGTCTCACTGTATCGATCCTAACTGATAGTCCATTGGCTGATATCTAAGGCCAAAGGCTCAAGGTGGAGGCTCCATCACACTTAACTTTATGAATGATTTTAGGTAAATAATAGTTTTACATGTCAGTTTCCTAATCTGGCTAATGTATATATTGATGAATATATACTATAGAACATTTCAATATAACAATGTTTAATTTCCAGCAGTTGGCTGCATGACAAATCTTATTAGTCCAAATTTTGAATTTTGCTCCTCAGACAAGATAGACCTATTTCGTTGATCATAACATTGTAAGAGAGTAATAATGAAATATTAAAGGAAATCCTAGGAGATTAAGGCATATCCTGAAACTTGTGAGCTCAGTCTCTAAAAACTGCCCTAGAAACATATCAGTAGTATTCTGTAGGATGAATATGGGTGGCAGACACATCACATAAATTATATAAATCATAAAATGTAACTTGATTTAACAATATAAATACAACACTTAATAAGCAATAGAAACTTAAAATCAAAGACAAACTATAAGAATCATCTCATGTAGAAACTCAAAAATGAATACTCTAGAAAGTCATCACAGACGGCCGTCAAGAATTCCTCCCCGCCCTGGACATAACTCTTACTCCTCTTATCAAGGGTGGAGTGAATTTCTTCTTTTCTTGAGTCTTTACTGGCTGATGACTTGTTGCAACTAATATAAAAATGGCAGAAATGACTCTGCGGGCTTCCAGGCTTAACCTTTTAGAGTCATGGAAGATTAATTTCTTTGGCCTTCTTGACACGCAGCTATCTTGCAAAGAAAATTCAAGTCATCCTGAAGAGGAGAGGTTACATGGAGAAAGCTGTGAGGATGAGAAGTCATATGGGGAGAGCATCCCCGTGGACAGTAGAGATTCCCTAACTGACAGCTAGCACCAACGCCCCAGGCAGCCTGAGAGAAACCAGCCACCAAATGAATGCAAAGCCACTTGAATGACCATAGCAGATACCACTGTGTGCTATGTTCTAAATGTTTATGTTGCCCTCAAAATTCATATATTAAAATCTAATCCCTAATATGGTCATATTTAGATGTGAGGTCTTTGGAAGGTGGTTAGGCCAAATGAGATTCCTCCTGTTATAAAAGAAGTCTCTAAGAGCTGTCTTGCACCTTTTACTATGGGAGGATACAGCATGAAGTTGCCATATGTGAAGCAGAGAGGGAACCCTCACTAGACACTAAATATGCTGGTACTATGATCTTGGACTTCCCAGCCTCTAGTGCGCTAAGAAATAAATTTCTGTTATTATAGGTTACCCAGTCTAAAATATTTTGTTATAGCAGCCTGAAAAGATCAAGACACTTTGTGGGACAGAAGAGCCACATAATCAATCTACAGCATGATCAGAAAAAGTAAATTATTGCTGTTTAAACTATGGAGTTTTGGGGTAGTTTGCTATATAGAAAAAGTGACTAAAGTTAAACCTGCAATCAAGGTACTACTTTTGTGCTGTGAGGTGGGATAAGCTAGCAGGTATGTGTATGTGTCTAGCTGATGGGAGGCAGATGTCTGCAGACTTTCCCTGATGCTGTTCTATAGAGTCTCCTGGTACCATTGATAAATATATAACTGATCTGTTCAGCAAATGGCTACAGTTTGTTTATGATATGTCTTGAAAATGTTCTGATTAGCCTTGTCTCTGATGTTTGCAAGAGTTGTAAATATAAGCTGACTGTAGTTCACTCCACAGGGCTTCTGATTAAAGTTATAGAGCAATCAACTCCCTCAAAGTCCATCATATGTTTGAGTCTTATTGAACTCTATGCTTATCCCCTAGATTAAAACTGCTACATAGACACTTGGAGAAAATGGTTCACTCTTTCCTTAACAAAACTGATGTGAGGCAATCAAGTCACTGAAGGGAACACAGAGCAGGTCATGTAAGAGGATTCAATTCTATATGAAATATTGGACTAAGGAATAAATGGAATTTCAAAACCAGACTCAATGCTCTATCCTTAGTGTCACTTCTATGCAGAGAGGAGAGGACCAAGAAAGCATGTAGAATTAGCTTCTCTAATTCAGACTTCTCAAATAAACCAGTTTCATATATTATTAATTATAAAATGTTTTTTATTTCTTCTAAAAAATGCAATACATGTGCAGAATATGCAGGTTTGTTACAAAGGTATACATGTGCCATGGATGTTTGCTGCACCTATTGACCAGTTCTCTAAGTTCTCACCCCCCATTCCCCAACAGGCCCTGGTATGTGTTGTTCCCCTCTCTGTGTCCATGTATTCTCACTGTTCAACTCTCACTTATGAGTGAGAACATGCAGTGTTTGGTTTTCTGTTCCAGTGTTAGTTTGCTAAGGATGATGACTTCCAGCTTCATCTATGTCCCTGCAAAGACATGATCTCATTCCTTTTTATGACTGCATAGTATTCCATGGTGTATATGTACCACATTTTCTTTATCCAGTTTATCATTGGTGGTCATTTGGGTCGATTCCATGTCTTTGTCATTGTAAACAGTTCTGCAACAAACATATGTGTGCATGTGTCTTTATAGTAGAATGATTTATAATCCTTTGAGTGTACATGCAGTAATAGGATTGCTGGGTCAAATGGTATTTCTCGTTCTATATCCTTAAGGAGTTGCCACACTATCTTCCAAATCGATTGAACTAATTTATATTCTGACCAACAGTGGAAAAGCCTTCCCATTTCTCCACAGCCTTGCCAGCATCTATTATTTCCTGACTTTTTAATAATTGCCATTCTGACTGGCATGAAATAGTATCACACTGTGGTTTCGATTTGCATTTCTCTGATCAGTGATGTTGAGCTTTTTTTGCATATGGGTTTTAGCTGTGTAAATGTCTTCTTTTGAGAAGTATCTGTTGATATCCTTTGCCCACTTTTTGATGTGTTTTTTTTTTCCTGTAAATTTATTTAAGTTTATTGTAAATTCTGGGTATTAGACTTTTGTCAGGTGGGTAGATTGCAAAAAACATATGGAGTGCTTCATCAATTTGCATGTCATCCTTGCACAGGGGTCATGCTAATCTCTGTATTATTCCAATTTTAGTATATGTGCTGCCAAAGCAAGCACTTACTAATAATTTCATAGGCTGCATAACACGTTTCCATAAAGTTAATGTCTTGAAACAATGTAAATTTAGTCAAGTAAAGCTTAGCTAGGCTTATGCTCAGGATGTCCTGAGGCTGGAATCAAGGCACTATCTGAGTTGTATTTCTTCTAGAGCTCAGAGTCTTTTTTGTCTAAGTTCATATAATTGGAAGAATTCAGCTCCTTGTGGCTGTGGGACTGAGGTTCTTGCTTTCTTGTTTGCTGTCAGACAGGGTTGCTGTCAACAAGTAGAGGTCACCCAGAGTTCCCCAACACCTAACCCTCTCACTGGCCTCACAACATAGTAGCTCATGTCTTCAAGGCCAGGAAGAGAATCTCTCAGTTCAGTTTGCTATGCTGGAGCCTTATGTGGCATACCATGATCATGGGAGTGGCTGTCCTCAGTTTGTCATATTTTATTGGCTAGAAGTAATCAGGTTCCACCTGTATTCAGGAGCAGGAGACTGTGAAAGGTATTACTTATTAGAGGCCATCTTGCTATCTGAACATTTGAAGGCCTTGAGTGTAGCTGAAAAAAAATATGTCTTTTACCTTAATTTTTTAAAATATTGAGGCATCCATTGAAAAGTTTTCAATAATTATTTTTTTCTGGGTCTTTTCAGATTAGTTTAAGCAGCTATATGAAGATGGATCTAAATAGTGAAAGAGTAACTATGCATTGTGATAACTTCTGTCAACAAGAATTTTCCAGTGAAGATTGTATTTACTTGTATGGAGGTACATTTTAACTGGGCACCCATATTATACTAGGCAATATCATGTAAAGAGCCATATTTAATCCTCACAGTGAGATGATGCTATTTTCACTTTCAGTTATAGAAAACAAGGCCCAGAGAAATAAACAATATCTTCCATCTGGATTATGCCTGCTGTAGGAACAGGAAGCAGGCTCTGCTCATGTCTGGGTATCTATTGCTTTCAGATCACAGACAATCAGTCATTGCTCATCACACAGCTGCTAAGTGGCGTGATCAGGGCTGAAACCCCAGTGCCTCTGACTTCAAAGCCTATGCTGCTCCACTTCACCACAGCATCGTTTTCATCAAAGTCAGGAATTCCCCCGTTTTATCTTGGATCTCTGTCAGCTGATGCTGGGTGGTCGTTGTTCATGTTACTCACCATCTGTGTTATCAGTAGGAATGCTTCCGGCATTACAGAAGGTGGACCATGCATCAGAACATGGTTACAACGTGGCAAAACTGACCTGACTGGAGATGTAGTCAGAGGGGAGGAAGGGAAGGTGGGACAGGTCAAGGATGTGACCAGAAAGGCACTCACTGTGGGAGCAAAATATGAACACTCAGTGATCCTGATAAATAATATTTTAGTGCAATATTTTTAAAATAAATTTTTTTCTAAAAATATCTATGATGAAGAAAATATCAACATTGTAAATAAAGATGAATCTCACCCTGCACTTTCCAGGCTCATCTCACTCAACTTCATCCTCATTACCTTGCAGCCCTGTGAGGAGACAGAAGCCAGAAAAAATGAGACCAGAGGAAAAAACCTCTCCTACTCCCATTTCCATGGCTTTCTAGGAACAGGATGAGGGACACCCAAGGGAATTCTCATCTGCAGAGAGCAGATTCTAGAGAAGTGCTATGATCTCTAGGAAAAGCACAGAAGCGTGCCCATGGGAAGATCAGGACTCTGTTCTGGTCTGGACACCAGCACTAACTCACTGCGTGGTTTGGGACTAGCCATTTTCTTTGGGCCTCAGTGTACTCATTTCTAAAATGGGAATTTTGAAACGAATGCTCTCTTGGGTCCCTTCCAACTCAGACATCCTAGAAGGCTATGGACTAGCAGATCCCAGGGGGAATACTCTGTCTTTTGCTCTAGGTTGGAAGTGCAGAATTCCAGAGAAAACTTTTCAGTGAGACAAACATGGACTCTTCTGTCTATTGACCTTCTGGCCTCTTCTCTTTCCTTTGGTGCTCAGTGTGCCACAAGAAGAGGCTAGTGGTCAGTTTCCACTGGTCCCTAGAAGTCAGGTCCATGGAAGGTTGACTGAAGCACTTAACTTTTTATAACTCTAGAACATCAGAGCTGACGGTATAACACTGGCCAGCTATGTCACAATCGGGTTTGTACTAAAGATAATAACTACTTCAATTAGCTGCGCATGGCGGCACATACCTGTAGTCTTAGCTCCTTGGCAGGCTAGGTGAGCCGATTACCTGATTCTGGGAGGTCAAGGCAATAGAGACCCATGATCTTGCCATTGCACTCCAGTCCGGATGATAGAATAAGACCCTGTCTCAAAAAAATCAATCGAACAAACATGCAAAGATAATAGCTGCTGTGTATGGATCTGTAATTGTGTAATAATATCTGAGAGGCAGTATATCATAGTGGTCTATCCCTGCACATGGCTGCTGGTATAGTGTTCTGTTTCTGCCTCTTACCAGATGCACTGGTCAGAGTGCAGCCAAGATGCAGAGCACACAGATTATTTCAATCATCAGAATTTAATAGGAATTATTGTTAAAGAGGTATAAAGTTGTTACTCAGGTAACTGAAAGTGAAAGAAGAAAACTCGAAGGTATCACAGAGGTAGCAACTGCAGGGCACCCAACAGCCCCTACGACGGAGGGAACAAAATGAGTGTGAGATAGTCACATCTTTGAACCTTAGTAGAGGGCCCCCTGAAGCAAACACAGAGACCTCCGAGAAGATGACTAGCTGGCTGGGGTTGTGTGTTGGAGGTACGAGATTGTGCTTGTCCTGCAAGTGGTAGAAAAACCTCAGAGTGGGTTCAGCTACCGCAAGTGGAAAATATTGCTTCTGGCAGGGAGAACAAGGGTGACTGGGGGAACAGCAAGTGCACAGAAAGTGCTGTGAGCGATGGACAGTAAGGGGCATGTCACTTCAGCCTTGTAGAGCATAATGGGAATCAAGTTGACAAAGCAAAAATGTGCTTTGCTGAACCTCAGGCCCAGCTCCTCAAAGCAGCAGACAGAAGGGTGGGTTTAGAGCTGAGAGTCCATGACTAAAGAGCTGGCACACTGGCTACTTGACCTTAAACAAATCACCTGACCTTTCTGTGCATGCATTCACTCATCTGTGAAAAAGAAATAATAATGAAATCCTCTGAATAGGGTTGTTTATCAAGGTTAAATTAATTAAGACACAAAAGTGCTTAAAACAGTTCCTTCAGTGCCCAATAAGCTCCTGGGCACTTAAGTTAAAATAAGTGCCCAATAAGATTTACCTGTGTGGTGGTTACTTCTACTGTATCAACTTGACTGGGCTAAGAGCTGCCCGGGTAGCCAGGCAGGTAAAGCATTATTGCTGCGCATGTCTGTGAGGTTATTTCCCGAAGAGATCAGAATTTCCATCAGTAGACTGAGTGAAGAAGACACACTCTCGCCAATGTTGGTTGGTACCACCTAATGTGTTGAGGACCTTAATAGAACAAAAAGGCAGAGGAAGGGTAAATTCACTCTGTGTGAGCTGGGATGTGCATCTTCTTTCATCCTCAGACGTTGGTACTTCTGGTTCTCAGCCTTCTTATTTGAACTAAATTACATCACCAGCTTTCTTGGTTCTCCAGCTTGCATATGGCAGATGGTGGGACTTCTTGGCCTTCATAATTGTGTGAACCCATTCCCATTATAAATCTGACATGTCTGTGTGTATACATACATATATATATATATACACATATATATAATATGTGTGTGTGTATACATATGTATATACACATACACACACATATACATATATATCTTCTATTGGTTCTGTTTCTCTGGATAACCCTGAATTATACAATCTGGTATTACTATATAAAGGAAAGAGCAAATATGTCTGCCTTGCCCAAGGCATTAGATTCACATTTTCCTTACATTTTGTGGCTTAATTTCCAGAGTAATTCTGAGAAGTGAATGTCATCTTCCTGACACTTATACAGATGTGTCCCATCCAAAGACCACCCTCTTTATACAGCAATGTGCTGCTTCCCATGGATCAAGAAACACAAGGTAGTTCTCATTCTTATTGTACCCCTCACTTATGAAGAGTGAAGCTAGACTTTACTGTCCTTAAACCTCAGATAATTCACCTGTAAAATGAGAATAAAACACTTGCTTGGAACACATAATCAAACGTGATAAAAATAGCATGATCAATCTCAATGGCAAGTCCAGCGAGATAAAATAGTGAGAGGAGAACACAAAGTCCTCTACAGTACAGTTTGCTTTAACACAACATATGTGTTCCTATAAATTACAGCACTGTGCAAAAGTATGCCAGAAAAACCACAAGACTTCTGGAAAAAATGGGGTTACAACATTTAAAAAACCTGATCAGTGACACACAATTACAAAGAAAGGCATCTAATAAAAACACTAGTGGAGTTGTACATGTGTTAAATGGTTAAGATGTACTTAAATACCAGAATAAACATGGCATTTTACTTGCAGATGTGGAGTTTGCTTGTGGAAGTGGGTGCCAGCAGGGGGCAGCTTGTGAGTCCCTGTGAAATGGAGACTGGGGTTGATCAGGAATCAGAGAGAAAGGTCTAACACGAGATGTGAATGGGTGTGCCTCATAACACACTCAGTGATCTGCCATAGCTGGTAGATGTATGGAGGTGTGTGTATTTTGCATATTCCTATAAACCCTGGGTCAGCTGTATGCAGTTTCTAGCAGATGAAATAATGTACATGCAAAGATATATTCACAGTGTGCTCACACTGTTTCCTAATAGACTGATTATGCCAGAAGAAATGCAGAGTTTCAAAACAAATGTTACAGCAAAACCGAGAGTTTTTAGGTTTGATCAAGTGTTCCAAACTTAGCCAGAAAAATACACGATAAAAGAGACATGAGTTAACAGCCATGTGGCTTAGGACATCCTCTGACTTGGCCATCAGCACAGTGTGGAACCAGTGTACTGGGTTAATGAAAACCCAGGTTGCACTGAGAACATATGTAGTATGACAACAGCAACAATAATAATAATAAAGAAATTCACAGACAGGGATCTGGTTGAAGATTATGCTAATTAATTCAGCACACAATTAGAATTTCTTTTGTGCTAGGCAGAGCCAGTACCTTCCCGGCAGAAGAGCCTGATCTGCTGACATGACTTACCACAGAAAACATTGCCTATATCTTAAGGCTCGTGGATGCCATTATTTTCACTGTGAGGAAGGTGCTCTGGGGATTAGCTGTGACAATTCTCCTGGACACTTCCCAGAGCGGATCAGGAGCTGGACTGAGACCAGGGTTAAGGCAGTTAGATTCTGGCCCAAAGCATTTTCCACTGGACAATGCTGCAGCTTCCCTGTGTCTTCTGATGGGAGAATCTGTATCTTCATTTCTCTGCTAACTCAGTAAGTCGTTAATGCTAAGTACTCTTTAAGCGACTAAGTAGGCCAGACTCTCTTGGGCATAGTGACATTAATTAGTCACAGCATGGTCTGTGTCTAGATACTTTGGACTAGAACCAACATCTGTCGAAATAATGATGTTAAAACTAAGCGTTTGTTCTGCAGAGGTTCTGCCCTCCCTCCCGCCCCTCCCCCATAGATGCATTCCCTCCGTCTTTGTACGTGCAGGGCCTCATTCTTCATATCACAATGTGGGGTAATTGTTGTAGGTTCAACTGCCTGTCTCCCTCACTAACAGAGTTCCCAGGGAGCAGAGACTGGGCTTTATTCATCTCAGCACCACAGGGATCTAGCACAGGGTTTACACATAAAAGATGCTTATGATGTCAGCTCCATGAGAGCAGAGACCATGTGCTCATGTCAGTCCTTGGTGTTTAAGCCAGTCTCTGGCCTCAAGGAGCCATGCAGCAAATATTTGTTGACTGAAAGCATGATCCTTAATGAAAGCTAATTTCCATTATATCAGTTAATTAAATAAAAGTATATCTGTTCAAAATTATGTGGTCAATGAAAAAAAAAATTCCAAGGGCTCCTTAATGATGTGGAAAAATGTTCAGAGTATAATGCTGAGTTTAAAAAATAAACCAAAATACAAAAAATGAAACAGGCTGGGTGTGGTGGCTCACTCCTGTAATCCCCACACCTGAGGTCAGGCGTTCATGAGGTGGGAGGATCACCTGAGGTCAGGAGTTTGAGACCACCTGGCCAACATGTGAAACCCTGTCTCTAACTAACTAAAAATACACACACACACACACAATTAGCCAGGCATGCGCGCGCGCACACACACACACACACACACACACACAAAATTAGCCAGGCATGGTGATGTGCACCTGTAGTCTCAGCTACTTAGGAAGCTGAGGAGGCAAGAGAATCGCTTGAACCTGGAAGGTGGAGGTTGCAGTGAGCCCAGATTGTGCCATTGCACTCCAGCCTGGACAACGAGTGAAACTCCATCTCCAAGCAAACAAACACACAAACAACAACAACAGCAACAACAAAAGAGGCTGAAAATATGTTGATTCAGAATGATACCCATCAGGTTAAAGAAATGCCCTCTGGTTTAGATGGTTGTCTCTGTGTTATGAGATTTGGGGTGACATTTACTCCCATCATTATACCTTTAGGTCATTTGACAAATTATTTAAAATAAGCCTGCATTATTGTAAAAATGGGGAAGAAAATGTTTTAAGAGCAAATCATTTCATCAGGCGCTTTAGTTGGTGCGTTTGTTCAGTGGGTAGTTTTAGGGGTCGGGTGACTTCAGAGAAAGAAACATTTCACACGATTGTTTTCTCTGCCTTCAGAAGGCCAAATTTTCTGTCAGTTTGATGATTCTGGTAATTCTCACATTAATTGGTGGCCTCTTTAGTGAGTGGTGCCCTGAGGAAGAGCATCTATATTTCTGGGTTTATGTTACAGAGGCCAAAAGGAGTCCAGGAATGGAAGGGCCTTCCAGCCTTGTCTTACATTGCTTTGTTTATTTTAATGGTGTGGCTTTGCTCTGAATTGTGCCGGGGGGTAAAACACACTCACATTGACTAAATCATTGACTGGCAATCATTTCCAGAGATTTTTTTTTTAACTCTGAATCCTGTGTTCTATGGAAGGCATTAGTTTCATATGTTTTTCATTTCATTATCATGTATGCCATTTTACAAAAGAAAAGAAAAGAAAATCATCTCTATGAATATAAATCCTTTCCCTAATAATAAATATAATCACTTGACATAATAGACTACGGGTCAGCATAGACCACAGGTCAATTCTCTCCCATAGCCTGCCTTTATATGGCCTATTAGCCAAGCCTGGACTATTAGCTAAGACTGTTTTTCATATTTTTAAATGACTGAAAACAAATTTTTAAAAAAATGTTTCATGATGTAGAAATTACACAAAATTCAAATTTCAGTGTTGATAAATAAAGTTTTATTGGAACACAGCCATGCCAATTTGTTTGCATATTGTCCATACAGCAGGCTTTTGCTCTGCGATAGAATTGAGTAGTTGCCATGGAGACCAAATGATTTGCAAGCCTGGAATATGTACTCCCTGGCCTTTTATAGAAACAGTTTGCTGACTCCTGTTATAGACCTAGGTAGTATTAAAAGGAAAGTTGGAAAAACTTCAACCTGTATAAAGATGAAGCTAGATCAGACTGAGAAACAGTCACAATTTGAGCTAGAAGAAATTGGGAAGGCATACCACTGAGTCCCATTGTGACACGGTTCAGGTCTCCATTTTCTCATCTGGAATAACGCCAGCAGACTAAGAACCTGTTCCAGGCTCTCCTCTTGACAGATGTACTACATGCCTGCAGTCCAACCCACGGCTTCCTGCCATCCTCACACAACTGTGCCAAAGTTATCCTCGCAAAGGGAAACCGTGCTTGCATTACTTTCATGCATGCAGCCTCCAGGGGCTCTGGATAGTCTATGGCAGTGGTCCTTGATCTGTGCTTTGAGGAGTTCTGGATTCCTTGGAGGAATGTGTAAGGTACAGAGATGGTGTGTGAGGATTCGCTGAGTGAGCAGGGTTGGGGATCTTTCTCTCTGTGCCCCCATTTCAACCAGAAAAGCTCTATTTTTGCCTTATTTGTATATTATGTTGAATTTGAAGAGCGGATTCTATTGTTTAACAAAATAGCTGGAAAGCCGCTAGTGTGTAAAACTTAAGCCTCTTGTCCTGGTCCTGTGTGATCTGGTGTGATAGACACAGTGCCAACCAACTACTTTGTGTGTTCCCTTCCATTTCTGAGCCTCCCTTGCAAGTTGTTGCCAGCAAACATTGAGTAGAAGTGACTCCCATCACTTCTGGGCTGAGAGAGCTGAGAACTGGTATGCTGCCTCCATTTCTGCTTTACCTTGGTAACCTTGCAGGCTACTTGTCAGAATGATAGCTGAGATGGTAGATCATGCATCAGCCCAGGACCCTGAATGGCCACGTGGACCATGATCTCCACCCTCACGTATTTTAGACAGTACAATTAAATGAAGAGCAAACTTTTGTAGTAGGAAATCCCTGAAATTTGGGGGTTATTTATTACTGGAGAATAGCATTCCATCCGGCCCCTGTTTATCTGTCATTTATCACTTGGTTGACTGATGTGTTATGTAGTTGGTTGCTTAATTAATTTAACAGCAACAACAAACATATATGAAGAGCCTAGTATATATTATGCTAAGTAGTGAGAATATAGATATCTATCTGTAGCTCCCAACCTCAAGGAGTTTATAGTTGAGTGACTTTCTTTCCATCGCCTAAGCCCTATCCCACACAAACCCTGCATCTTCCTTATTCTAAACTGTTTTTGTATCCCAAACTCACCCAAACAATTTATTCATCAACTCTTTGTCTAAATTTCTTCTATTGTCTATGGATTGAGAAATCCCGGGATCTGAATAAGTAACTAACAGCATAACGTGCTATACTGCTATAAACACACTATAATGGTTCCTATTGGTCACAAATCTGTGAAATCATTATGAAAGAAAGAAAACATAGAGCCTAGTGCAGGGAACTTAGCCTAAAACAATCCAATCAGTGCGTCAGACGACCCAAGGAAGAGTGAAAACTGCCATCCCTCATTCTGATGCCTTCATTTCATGGTGCAAAGCATCCAGATGCTAAGAAACACATCTGGGGCTTTTCTGTCTGTGATGATGGGAATGTTCTACATCTGCTCTGGCAGCAGCTAGCCACATGTGACTATCGAACAATTAAAACAAGACTGATGTGACTGAGGAACTAAATTTCTAACTTCAATCGCTTTTAATTCATTTCAATTTAAACAGCCATGTGTGAGTAGTTGCTACCTTATTGACCAATGTGACTTGAGAAGATATTTATCTCTGTTTATTTAATTCTTTTTGTTAGCATAGCCTAAATAAAATAAGCTTAAAAGATACAACCATAAACACATTTTCAAATAACACAAAAGAGGTTATCACTAGCTAAATGCTAAGACTGAATACTTTTCCTTTAAGCCTCTTTTGGTGCTCTGCTCAATTAACACAGCTCTGGGTTGTAACCCAGGACAATAGACAAAAATTCAAGGTGGCCAGAGTCAAGTGGTCCCCTCTGTCTCTAAGACCTCTGGCATCAGGGTGTTCCTCAAAATAGCAGAGCAATAAATTCAGTAGTAATATTGGAAGTATTCAAATAAACATTTTCAAAATATTTATGCACCCTTTTAATAAAAGAAAATGTGAAAAGCTCAATATATGGCAGGCACTATTATTCGAGGTATTTGGGTTACATCAGTGAATGAATCAGAAAAAGGTCCCTCACTTTCTGGAGCTTACCTTTTAGTGGGGAAGTCCACACAATACATATGATAAATAGATGAATTGCATGGCCTATTAGAAATGCTATTTAGAATGAAATAGAGCAGAATAAGAAAGGGATAAACAGTGATATTTTAGCAAAGACTGACTTAAAGGTAAAAGAGTGATCAGCTAATCTGGGGAAGAAGCATTCTAGCATTAACTTCTATTTCTCTGAAAAGTGTCCTACTCCAAGGTCTCAAAGAAGGGCAGGCATTGGCCTGGACAGCATCCTGAGTGTGTCTGAACCACAGACCAGAGCATCTGTACTTGGAGGGTGTAGGCAGGAGGCAGGTACATCAGTGAACTGAGCAGGAGGTGACCTTGCAAGTCTGGGTCTTTCTGGGTTGATGGCACTTTTATAATAAATAAATTATATTTATTTTTCCCCATGTATCTCTTAGCAAAGAAGTGTGGGATATAAAGAAATGATACAGACAGGAGACTGGGTAGAAGAGGGTGGTTCCCTAGAAAAGGCGCCACCCTCAAGACTAAAGACCCATATCCCTAAATGAGGACAGGTACTCCCATTTTCACACCCAAAATGTTGCCTTTTAGCTCGCCATGCCTCCTCTCCTGCATCCGTATAAACCCCAAGCCCCAGCCTCCAATAGCAGACCAGCTAGCCAGCAAACCAGCAGATGAGCAGAATGACAGAAAGATGTGGCAGAGAAAGAGAGAAGAGGAGGAACATCTGAAAGCTGAGAGGAGTTTGGCTGGGGCAGTTAAGAGAGGAGTCTAGACACTGGGTGGCTGGCTCCAGGGGAAGATCACCTTCCCACTCCATCCCCACCTTGCAGATCCCTATCCATCCTGCA